AATAATAAATAAATACATAATAAAATAATAAAAACGATATATTTTAATTACTTAAGTTAATGCCAATGACATATACTAAATATAGTTCCGAGAAAACATAATTTATCTCGGATCATATAAAATAGGGCACCTTATATATCAGCACGATGCACAATGCACTTTATAAAAATACACGTTGCACTCCATAAACCAACTCATTTCACTTTATACAAATCGGCAATTAACGTTGATAGCTTCTGCCAAAATACCACGTGTTCATAAATTTTAAAAATGTATATACATAATAGTTTAACATCAATCACACCATCTGTACACAAAAATGCATACGTGCTAACGTACCTAAATTACAGTAGTGCACTTTATATATCGGCACATTGCACTCTATATACAAAAATGTCGCACTTTATAAAATAATACGTTGCACTTTATCACGACACACCACAATTAATGCCAATAACTCCTAGCATAACTCCGCACGACATACATCTAAAAAATTATGTCGACACAAAATTTTAATATACTTTGTTATATTTTTTTGGATATATATTTTAGGTTTTTTTTTAACAAAATATACATATATTAATGCTAATATAAACATTTTTTTAATTATTATGTATGGGATTTTTATTAACCGACAGACTAAATCAATCATGTCGATTCATTTTTAATTTGAATCGGTGCAAATCGTAAAAAATGTATCCACTGTAAGTGCACAATAGTACTAGAAGAGTTGCACGTTATTGATTATCAAATTACATAATAGCTACTGAAACTGAACGAATTAAATTTTTTATTTTAGTCTGGCATATGCTTAATTTTTTTGAATTTCTATTTTATATATTTTTACGTATTGCGATTGTATATTAAGTCTATACGGATTGCACATTAATGACTATTGGATTGCACAATATCAAACGATTTTGACCAAACTAACAATTTCAGTTCGAATTTTGAAATCTCGGTTCAATTGCCATTCTTTTTTACTTTTAAAAACTCAATTATGCTAGTTTGTTATCGGATATTTTTTATTTATTTAGATAATCGAACTATGTAAAAACAAATTATTAATTTTATTATTATATTTTTAATGTAAAGTACTATTAATTTTCAGGTACAAAAAAAAGAAAAAATAATGAACAATAAATTGAAATATTATCACATTAATAATAGTTTGATTAATTACAAATTCACCCATGAACTAAATTGTTATTTTCAAAAATTACTGAAAATTGCACCTACGCCCCAAGATTTTTCAAATTCACAACAAGAAGTCCTTATCCTAAATCTGAAAAAACACGCTCAATTGTTCCTGTTATTTCATCTCGGCCGCCGTCGAGGACCTCACCCTGCGGCCGTCGGAGAACCTTCACTGTCCGGAGACCACCTTTCCGATGTCAGACGCCTCCATCATCAGACACTTCGACTTCACCAACCAAAAATGATTTCAGTACATGCCGCCGCCGATAAGTTGGAACTCGCCGTGAAGACCAGCGTGGCAGTCCACTGGCTGGTGGCCGCACCTGGCGGAAGTGGCGTCGGGGCTGGTGGCCGTGAATGTCGAAGGTGCTGTTTCAGTGCTCGACGGTACTGTTTCAGCGGCGGATATGGTGACAATGGCAACGGGAGATGCCGGGAAGACGGCGACGACGAGATGATACTTCGGCGGGGGCGAGGCCTGGTGTGTGCGGTGGTCCGTCTAGGGTCCAACGGAGGACGTTTAGTGGTGACTCCGGTGGCAACTCCGGCGGTGAATGCAACGGCGAACTGGTGGTCCAATGTGTGCGTGAATCGGTTGGTGTGTGCAGTGTGTGATGTGTGTGTCGTGTGCAGAGTGTGTGTGTGTGTGTGAGAGAGATGAAAGGGTGTGTGTGGGGCTGGGAGTAGGGATGAAAGCGGGAACAGGAAAATCCCGTACCGACTGATGCCGTATCCCGAATATACCGATCGTATTCCGTTTTGGCAGGAAAAAATAGGAAACGGGAACAGGAAAAAAAAAATGGGAACAGGAATGGGAATGAATTCGGGAAGGGGTGTTTCCCGACCGTATTCGCGGATCCCGTATTTGGGCGGGAAAATCCCCGCGGTATTTCTTATTCCCGTATATTAGTATATTACAGTGGCCAAAGCTTAATCTAATAATCTACTTGAGTATAAGTAAATGCTGATTCCTGACTCCTTAGACTCTCAAACTAAGTAAAAAATATAGCTTGTATCGGCCCAAACCTCGTATCTAGCCCAGCGACCCATTCAGCCCAATATAAAATTATTGAAAATACGATAAACAATTAAACATAAAGTGATAAAGAGGAATAAGCAAGTGAAATTAAAATATACTCCGTTCCTAAATCCTAACTCCCCAACCCCCAAACCTCGTGAACTCCGCCCGCCCCAAGCTTGCCGGTCGCCGCCTGCGACAGCGAGACGAGATGGAGCAGCAGCCGCCAACTGCAGGTGGATATGGACCTGGACGTGCTTCCGCTTCTGTTGCTGCCTCGTCTGCATCCAAGCGCCGACTCCAACTGAAGCCGCCACAGCCGGTCATGGTGCGCAGCGTCGCCATTCTTCCTCCAAACCCAACAACAGGTATATCAATCACGGATTCACGTTAGTAATCCAGTATACTGTACACATATTCATCAATTGGAAGCTATTGTTGAAGACATCTTTTCTTTAATTGATTTATGTTGTTACTGCTCTTTTGTGTTTGGTAGCTCATCTTATTTAACTAGTTGTAAGGCTTTAGCTTTGAAAGCTATTAATTTGGGGATTAGCCATGATTGGCATGTAAATTTTCCTTCTTGTTTGTAATCTGTAGGCTTTTGTGAATTGTGGTCAGTAGACTGGGCTGTATTAAAACTCTGTACTGTGTTTTTTTTAGATTCGGAGGTTAATGTTATCTGTCGTTCAATGCCAAAAAAAGAAAATCATCAATTGGAGTAGATTTAATTCTCTTGTGAGAATACATTGGTTGTTAATTTGATTCGATTGGTTTAACTGATGCGATTCAGTACATCACATAGACCAGATCTGCTCTCCGTCACTATTGACTAATGAGCCATCATGCTCTTGTTAATTTTACTGATCTAGTACTTCACTATGCTCTTGTTACTTCACAGTAGTACTTCACTTATGTATATTTTTTATTTTTCTCTTGGTAGGATCTAAGAGGTCAAGTTCAACAAATGGAAGCTCTGGTCAAAGTCAAGGTCTTGGTTTGTGTTTGTCTAGTGCAACTCCTTCATCTAGCCCAGCAACAGCAACCGCAACCGATGCATCTTCTTTGCCAAGTGGAGGTGTGAGTGGAGTTGCTGCTGTAGGTTCTGGACCTTCTGGTTCTAGTGGCCACAATGTTGATGCTGCTGGTGCTAACCATCCTGGTGGACAAAAAGGAGCAAATATTGCAAATGCCATCGTTGTTGAAGGTGATGAGGCGCCAAGTGGAGATAAAGTTGAACCAGATGGAAAGAGACAAAAGAGGTGCACATCTGGTGTGTGGAAGTACTTTACCAAAAAGAAGCTTGTCATTGAGGATAATGGGAAGGTTTATATTCGGAAGTGGGCTTATTGCAATTATCCAAAGTGCAAGCACAAGGCCAGATGTGAGGGAAATTATGGGACAACAGGTTTCTGGACACATCTGAGGGTAGCACACAGTGTACAGAAGGGCCAGCAGCAATTAAAGGTGGAAAAAGACGGTGCACAAGAAATCAAAGCTGTTGTAACATACAGGTATGATGAAGAGGCCAGCTTGAGAAAGTTTTACTTGGTAATAGTCATGCATGAGTATCCATTCAATATATCTGAGCACGAGTATTTTGTTGATTTCATCAAATCACTACGCCCTAGCTTTCCAATCAAATCTAGAGTTACCATTAGGAAAGAAATTATGAACATGTTCTTAGAGGAAAACGAGAAGTTGTATGCTTATTTCAAATCTGTCCCTTGTCGGCTTAGTGCCACCATGGACATGTGGACTTCAAATCAGAACAAATCATACATGTGTGTCACTGTTCATTGGATAGATGAAAATTGGTTTATTCAAAAAAGGATTGTGAACTTTGTGCATGTAGAGGGCCGTCATACTGGTGCCAAGTTGTCAGAGACATTTACTGAACTCATGATTAAGTGGAATATTGACAAGAAATTGTTTGCCCTGACCTTGGACAATGCATCAGCAAATGAAGTTGTAGTCAAAGACATCATATCTGATCTGAGGGCTAATTCTAGTGCTTCAGCTTTGGTATGTGATGGCCTATTCTTTCATGTGAGGTGTGCTTGTCACATACTAAACCTAGTTGCTAGGGATGGTTTGACTGTAATCACACCCACAATTGAGAATATTAGAAAACTTGTTCTTGCTGTTAAAGGATCTCCCTTGCAATGGGAAGAACTCATGAAGCGTGCAACTGAGTGTGGACTGGATACAAACAAGGGCCTGTCACTTGATGTATCAACAAGATGGAATTCAACATATTTGATGCTCCGAGATGCCTTGTACTATAAGAATGCATTCATGAGGTTGAAATCATCAGATCACCGTAGGTATGAAAACATTACTCCATCTCCTAGTGAATGGGATATGGCATTCAAACTTTTCCAATGCTTGAAGAAATTCTTTGATCTCACTGAACTCTTTTCTGGTACTCTATACCCCACTGCAAATCTGTTCTATAGAGGGTTTTGTGAGATAAAGATTTTGCTAGATGAATGGTCCGTTAGTCAAGATAACACTATTTGTACAACGGCTACTTCTATGAGTAGGAAGTTTGAAAAATATTGGAAGAAGTCATCCACCACACTTGCTGTTGCTTGTTTCCTAGATCCTAGGTATAAGAAAAGGCTTATAGAGTTCTACATGAGAAAATTCCATGGAAATGCATCTCATGTTCATGTTGATGAACTTGTTGATGTCATCAAGAAACTGTACCAGTTCTATGTTCATGACGCACCCATGTCTTCGAGGCATAAAGGCAAATCAAATGCACCTAGTGATATGGAGATTGATACAGCGGACCTTTTAGTGGATAATGGAGATAACGAACTAGAGAGCTACCTGTATGAGTCTAGTGGGCCGAATGGTGCTGAAATGAATGAGTTGGATAAGTATATGGCAGATCCACCTCTCCGGCTTAGTGGTCAGTTTGATGTCTTGGCATGGTGGAAGAACCAGACTGATGAGTATCCTGTTCTTTCAAGAATAGCTCATGATTTGCTGGCTGTACAAGTCTCTACCGTCGCTTCTGAATTAGCTTTTAGGGCTGGTGGACGTGTAGTTGATCCTTTCCGTAGCCGCCTTGAACCTGAAATTGTTGAAGCTTTGATATGCTTGAAAGATTGGATTGCTGCAGGAAGAAGAGGTTAGTTACAATACAACATTTCATGAGTTTGTTGTACAATATCTCCTAATCATATTTGCTGATTTTGTCTTGTTTGATTGTTTGATTTTCAAAAAAGAAGGTTGGTTCCATTGTTTGTGATCTTGAAGTTATTGAGGCCCTTGTAGAAAAGTTGACTATTGAGGTAACATAATTTTGTGCTTCTCAAAATTTGATTTACAAACTTGTTGCCTGTTGGTCTACTTTTTGTGAACATGATAGGATAGGATGGCCATAAGTGAGAGTAGTCAATAGCATTGTCTTAGGTTGATCACAAATTTTGATATTGCAGTTGGTCTGATGATTCCTCTTGTATTGTAGGACGATGATGTTGCGGACAGTGATGGAGAAATGGATGCGCATGGGTCATGGTCAGCTGCAAATGAGCATGATTTCTATGGCATTTAAGTTGTGGTCTGCTGGTCTATTTATGTTTGAAATTTGCCCCTGTTGGACTATTTACTTCAAAACTTGTGTGTGACTCAATGAATGTCTAATGTTTGTATTAATACTAATACTTATGTACTTGAGAGTTGAGACTTGGGCTCTTGCACTTGCTGGTGCAGTGATGCCTGCTTGTAAATACTTATGTTTGGAGTTTGCTGCTTGTTATTGTATTGGCTAGCTTGCTGCCTTGCTGCCTGCTGGAATGTTACATGTTGCCATGTTGGATGTTGCTGCTGTCGTATGTTAGAACTTGATGTTCGCTTATGCATAGCTGGAATTATCTTTTCGTGCTTAATGTTTGAAGTTGTTACATGTATTATACCGTATAGTGTTTTCGATTTCCGACCGTAATCGACTGGTTCCCGATCGAACTCTTTCGTTCCCGATATCCCGTAATATCGATTTCGTTTTCCCGTCCGGCTCAACCGTTTTCGATCCCGTTCCCGGTAAAAAAATACAGGAAAGGGAATGGTTTTGGGGTTTTTCCGACCGTTCCCGACCGTTTTCATCCCTAGCTGGGAGGGAGAAGGACGTGGGGAGTTGTTTGGGGTGGGTCCCACTGGCAAGTGGCATGGCAAATGACATATTTGTCCTTAATAATGGTCAAATACATATATTTAACCTTATTGTATCCATTTATTTACCATAATGCCATTCCATGTTTGACTCTCATTATTTATGTTTGACTTGATCCTGGTCGTTGATTTGATAGATCCAATGGTCTATAATTATTCTTATTTCTTTCACTATCTCCCTTTCTCATATGATTCATTCTATATATATACACACTAGCATTTCATCTTGTGCACATGCACAAATATTTCAAAGAAAATATTAGGTTAGATGTGTGTTTATGTAATATTTAAAATGATAAGTCAGATAATGAGCATATCATATTTTATATAATTTATCATTAGTAACGATATAAATATAAGCTATTTAACTTATATTATTAATCGTTATACCGATGCGGTTTTGACTGATTATTACCAATTAATTTGATAAAACAATACTAAAATTATTATTATAGAAATTGTGTACGAAATTTTAAATGTTTTAATTATGCCAAAATAAATAATTAACTAATTTCAATAGAATAAACTTCTTAATGAGTTGAAATAAAATAATATTAAATAAATAGTTTGAAATTATCTTTAGAAAAGAATGACATGTAATGCGATTTCATGATTAGTTAATAGTAACAATTATATAATAAAATAAATAAAAAAATATATAATTTTTTGATTAATGCAAAAGTAACGGAAATTTGAGGGAAACCAAAAAAGAGTTTTATTAATTGCTTTGTTAGCAATTATATAGAATATAGATGAGCTCTCTTTACTTGGTCTCATTTTTTCTATTCATTTTTTCCAACATTCCTACACTCGAGAAAGCTCTCAAACACACAAAAATTCCCAAAGTCTCCATATAAATTCCTAGTCCATACAAATACAAAACCGAGCCTTTACTCCAACCGAGCCGACGAGCCCTAGCACACGACCAGCTCCCAGCAAACCTCCGTTAGCCGCAGCAGCAGCCCCGTACGAGCACCCAGCTGCTCCCTTGCCAAGGTGCCCGATTCCGCATCGAGCCAAGGCCACTGCAAGCCTCAACTAGCCACCTTCATCTTCTATTTTCCATTTTTGAGCCCCGAAGAAGGTAGGATGCCCAAAACCCCCTCATACGACTTAGATATGAATTATAAAATATTTTAAAAATATAGAATCGAAAAAAATAGAGCTTGAATGAGAGATCTAGATTTATTGCCTTTAATATGCTAAAATTCGAATCTTGGGCTATGCATGTCCAAAAATTGTGGTTTAAATTCCATAAACCTTAATATTGTGTTTATGATGTGGCTTAAACTTGAGAATTTTTGGAGTTCATTTGCTATGTGAACAAAAGTAGTAGATCTAGGCCTAAAATGGATATATTATGTTGAATGAGTTATAGATCTGATGTTGCTGAGATATATTAATCAAAAATCTTCAATATCATGTTGAGGACGTGTTAAATAAAATTTGAGGATTTTTGAAGATCATTTGCTATGTGAACAAAAATAGTAAATCTAGACATAAAATGGATATTTTATATCGAACGAGTTCTATATATGATCTTGATGAGATATTTTAACCAAAAATCTTCAATATCATGTTGAGATTGTTTTTAAAATATGAGGATTTTTGGAGATCAATAACTATTTTATGTTAAATGAGTTTTAGATCTATTCAGGCTAAGATATTTTAACACAAAATCTTAAGTATCATGTTGAGGTTGTGTTTAAAATTTATAGATTTTTGGAGGCCGTTTGATATGGTTTCTAAAATCGGGACTCTAGCCTAAAATCGGTAAATTTTTAGATACTTGGAATGATGAGATTTAGCTGATGTTTGGAGATCTAAAATCTTTATATATAGTGATGAGTTCATGATTAAAGTTTTAGCTTAAAATGAGTTAGGTTGTTCTGAGAACCAGAACCCTAGATTGGGCCAATTTTAGGTGCCGAGTAATTCTAACGATTCGAGCATATTTTCTCGAGTCATCATAACCTATATGAACTCTAGACGTCATAAGGAGCCAAATTAACCCCGGGTTGTCGGAAAACCATTGCCGAGTGTGTGCCCCTACACCAAGTTCGGCCAACCCCTGCTCATTCGCTCTGCCCCGCGCCCGTGCGCCCGCCAACCTGTCAAGGCACCATGCCCCGCCAGCCGCGGTCCAGCGTGCCCCTCCGCCAGTGGTCATGTCATTCAATTAACCCGAGTGACCAGCCGATTCATGAGCGAGCCGACGGTCCAATACAGTCAAACTGGTCCAGACAGTCCAGACGGTTCGACATTTTCCAATTCAGAATTCCAGTTCGAACGTGAGCCGAGACTTAAGCATTTTTCTAAATTTTCAGTTCAAGATCAAGTTAGAAATTAATTACTGAAGAAAAACATGCTAAATGAAGAAGCAGGCATATGGAATTTTAGGGTTTCAAATCTCTTTCGTTTCATAGATCGTAAGATGTCCATTACAGCTATATTTATACCAATCACAAAGAACCCTAAGCTATCGGGAAATATCGCATCATTCAATGATTGGTAGCTACAGATTAATCGCCATCATACACATGCATGTCTGGAGATGAACACAGTACACGTCCAGGTGGATGCAGACGCTCATCTCTTGGCCTGTAGTGGAGACATGCATCAGATGCTCCTTCATGTTTGTCCTTTAGCCCAACAACCTTGCCTAGGTGTCTCTTATCCACATTTAAGATGATCTGCGATGAGTCCAAAGGTATTTTAACACACCCCCCCAATTCGAGCCTAGGTAAATGAAGTTGTATAACCTTTTATGCAAATAACTTTTATATTGATTAATAGCAGACTGAATATACTAAGACAGTTCAAACAATTGCGGAAGCAGTATAACTTAAAACTGAACCTTCAGGAGAGCATCCAACTCTGCCATCGGATCTCTTTCATTAGTGCAAACATCACAAACATTGTTCAAAGGCCTATAGTATAGACTCCTTCTACACTCTAGTTGAACAATGATCTGCACTACTACTTATCCGACCACAAATCCATTGTGGATTTTCGTGTTTTACTCCCTCAAACTTCACAGAGTGAACCTTCGATCACTCTTGATTTTTCACTCAATCAAATACAAAATAGGAACAACGCTCAAAAAAACTACTCTCGTTACAACATATGCACACACAAAAATTCAGATTAAAAGTCCTCCTCTCCAAGCATCTCGTCGTCCTTTTATCTTCAATCCCATAAGGTAAGTCTCGCACCAAAATTTGCCTCCAAGTCACGTTTACTTATGGTAAGTCTTCTTTTGGAAGTCCAAGTCCCGCGATCAGTATCTTGCGCATATGGAAGGTGAATCCTAATTGCCTTCCATTAGACCTGCCATAATAAAACACATTATTAATCTATAAACTGAAGCAATAAGAAATTAGTCCAAGTAATAAAAACAACTTTCCTTAAATATTCTTGAGTCGTCTGAACCTGGGAACTGATGAAGGTTTTTTGATTTACCGTCAATCTTCAAAACTTACAATCTTCCCCTTTGGCAGATAAATCGAAAACACTTCTTCTGAACCTGTATTCAAAAAGACATTTTCCGCAACATAAGTACTAGACCAAACCATACTCATTACATCACAAATATGTTGTTCATTTGAACAACTTAACAACATGAGCATTTCAAAACACAGAAAAATAGTTCACATGTTAATAGATAAAGTCTAAAGGACCATCCAAAAGCAAAATACGAAAGAAAAAAAAAAGAAAATTGTTAATACAACCATCACAAAGACCAAATAGTTTTTAGTTTAGACAAAACGTAATTAAAAATCCAGCAGAAGAGTCTAAGCAGACTCTTCATCATCCTCAGCCTCTTCATCAACCTTAAAAAATCCTTCGGAGTCAGCTTCCGTGTCTTCCGAACACGCTTCTTCTTTTGATCTAGTTTCTTCTCCTTTCTCAGCTTCAGAACTATCAGGCTCAATAACTTTTTCTTTTCCCTTGGCAGCAACAATAACAACATCATCCTTCTCCTTTCATTTCCCAGCTATCTCATATCCTTTGGCTTTTGAACCTTCTTTGGGCTTCTTTCCCTTACTTGAGAGCTTTCTTCTTCTTCCCCTTTTTTGATTTAGATGGCAAAGGGGCACACATCATGAGCACACCAAGAACCTCCTTATAGTAACAATGCTGATTAGCCAGTTTCTTCTCCAGACCACTAAGAACGGCTACCTGCTAGATAAGGAACCCACGGAGTTGGGAAGGTACTTCAGATGCCTTAACAAGAGATGACAGGTGGGGCAGACTTGACCCCAGCAAGAGCAAGTGGTTTGAGGCTCGGAGAAAGACTATCACCCATACGTGGGTCCATCTTGACCCTAGCTTGAAGCAAAATAGCATAGATGGTCGACGGAAAGAGTAGTATTTTGTGCGGTT